AAAAATGTTACAAAATTAGTGGGAAGAATGAAAAATGAAAAATGGATCAATTATAGTGAAAAGGAAGGGATCGGAGTACCGGAGCATTAAAAGTGTTACTAAATAGGAAAGTCAAACTACTCCAAACTTCCAATTGAAAAGAAGGAAGGTACAAACATTATGAAACAAAAAAACAATTAAAAAAATATTAAATATTTGGTGGATGGATTAAACTTGAACGTGATTCACATCCACATCAAGCTAAGCACATGCATATTTGTACTTGTATAGATTTGTAGAATTTGATGAAATATCCTCGTTGTACCAAAACAAAGGACGGAGATTCCACTTTCAATGATCACCCATTTTCCACGTCAGCTTTGATGTTTAATTTGCCTCCAACTTAAGTTTGAAGTTACTTCGTATCGTGAGAGAATTATATCGCCAAAAATTCATTAGGAAATTCAACGAAATAATGATACCGACCCTTTAGTGGGCGCCAAACAAATTAAAAGAAGGTGACAACTTCGATACCCATTTAAAATATGGGATACGATAACTACCACTCACTTGATTGGTTAAAATCATTACATCATTTTTAATTTAGATTAAAATAATTCAACTATATCATTCTGATTGGTACATGTGGATAAATGTATGATACAAGGGTACCATAGAATCTACCTTAAAAGAATTGCCATTTTCTGGTTCTAATAACTATTTCTGATTCCGTGATAGCTCCTTGAATTCAATTTAATCAGAATAAAAATACCAAGTATATATGAAGTCCTTTAATTACTCGGTGTGTATACGTATTCACATTTTCCAAGTCCAAAAATAAAAAACTGCTTACAATATATGCGTCAACATGCACTAGCTAGGTTGATCAAGTTCACTGATAATATAATTATACAACCATCCAATTAATTTTATTCTCAAAATATGATATATTTAATTCAGATATAGAGTCGGTTATGCAACCTTATTTTTCGGCTAATCAGCATTGTCGGCCATCTTTTTCACCAAACACGTAACTTTTGGTTTCAAGCGCTGAATTGTGTAGCAATCAAAATAACCAAGGTTTAAGTTACTTTATGGCTGAATTGGCTGTAGTCACGGTAGATGATCATTTTAGGCATATTTTCATTTTATTAATAAAATATATTTTACATATAATTTTTCATGAATCAGCAGAATCAGTCGATCCAATCGATTACTTTAACCAAAACATCTTAAATTTATGAGAATTATGTGATTTAGTTAGTTATTTCAAAAAAAAGTGGTTTAGTTAGTTAATTTCAATATTATCAAATGGACTCATAATAATTAAAACATTTAAAACTTTCTTATTAATTACGTAGTACTCTCTCCGTCCCGTAAACAACTTCACACTTTTCTTTTCGGGCAGTCCCGAAATTAACTTCACGCTTCTTCTCACTTCTTGTTTGGCAAATTCTCTACATACAAACAGTGCCAAAAGTGTCAAACAGTGTCAAAACAATGTCAAAACAGTAAAATTTACCTCATAATAAGTTTATTTCCTTAATGCCCGTGAAGTCAAAGTGTGAAATTGTTTACGGGATGGAGGGAGTATGAGTGAATGAGTCTTTCTGCTCATACTAAAATAATGGCGGTCCACAGAAAATATACTCCGTATTAAATTTCATTGTTATTCGTAGAATTTCGTGTAAAAACTATATTGAATTGGCATGTGATATATACCCACCGAAATACACTAAAAAGAGTCAGATTCTCGAATCACTAATTAACATGCAACGAAACGGAGCTTTGCTAGGCGCCTAGGCCGACTGTACATCATGACAAACTAATACTGCGCTGGATAAAGTTTATGCCACAATGAATATATAAAAAAATTAGGTCAAATAAGTCCTATTTTGTAAATAAAATATAATTACTCATGTTTGTAAACTTTAGAATTGTCTATACTTTACTCTTATTTGGAGCATTTTCTTTAAATATATTCCGAAACAAAACTATTGTTACAGACCAACTCTTTAACATCAATTCATCAAATCCGTCCATGATAAATTACGGGCCGGAGTATAACTTCAAGAATCTGAATTTAACTACCGAATACATTGTATTTGCTGGTATTATTATATTATTATTATTATTATTATTATTATTAATATTATTATTATTATTATTATTATTATTATTATTACTATTATATAACATTGATGATGAATTGATGAAAACTTGTGCCCAATATTCTAAAATGCACAGAGTCTCCGCAAGTATCAATGTCAGAGCATCATTCTCTATTTGTTAGCTTGTGATAGGTTATAAGAATTCTCATGAATGAGGTGTCTTCCTTTTTTTAATATGTTCATTTGTTTAAAAATATAAGGATGTTTTTACTTGGACTGTAATTCGCTGGTCTGGTCTGGTCTGGTCTGGTCTAGTCTGGTCTGGTTTGGTCTGGTCTGGTTTCTTTGTATTTTTATAACTATTCAAGTCTAGTCTGGTCTGGTCTGGTCTGGTTTGATCTGGTCTGGGACGAATTACGGTCCAAGTAAAAACATCCTAAAACATCGCCTATCCGGACTATAAGATATGGGATTGGAACAGTTTATTTTACGCACTTTTCGTATAACAGTAGTAAACTAGTAATGCATTATTGATTGAAACATGATCGGCTGAAATTAATAATAATAAGTTTCTCATAATGCGAATTGATAATGAATAATGGGCATAATCCGACTCATAGACATTCTTGATTATTCGATTTGAAACAGGCAGAAGAAATAAATATCGAATTAATTAATTAAGTTTAAAAATATACTTTTGTTCTGTTTCGTTTTGGATGTGGAAGCTTCTTCAATATACTCTGTTTAATTAATGTATTCGGTTTAGATTTAGTATGATTTAAGACCAGAAAACGATATTATCATCACTTTAAATTTGGATTAATCTGATTTGATAAACTCCAATTGCTGTATCAAACCGAACCAAATGCCCAGACCAGCTAACTTGTACCATTCAATATATATCCAATAAAAGAAATGTGACACAAAAACTGGACGACTGGCTATGAGCCACTAGTGGTATGCAAATGACATGAGAATGTGTCTGATAAGAATAATTATATTATATTATATGTATTATTATTATTATTATTATTATTATTATTATTATTATTATTATTATTATACTACGTATTTAAGTTGGAAGACCCAAAAGCCAAGCATTAGTCGCAATCAATCACTATAACATACACCACTGTGCCTTTGCACCGCAATATATACAATTATTTCTTACCTAATGTATCTAGTATATATGGATTTATTGTTTTGTACTACGTCAACTGTAGCTCAATGGTCATTGAAGAAGTGGTTTGCATTGAGGTTTCATGTTTAAGTAGTTGTAATATTTGTATAGAGTGGGAGTTTCCAAAGTGGTGAATCATGCTGCTATAATTTCCTCCACCATTTTGTCGAATCATCAATAGTGTTTATTACTCTCTATTTTATTCACTCGCATTTCAAAAAAAAGGATTTTGTCATATTGACTTTTTCTTAATTAATGATAATAAATTTTAATCAATAATATTTCCTAATATATGGAATTATTTTGAATATTAAAATCATACCTTCCGTTCCGAATCAACTTCTCACTTTCCTTTTTGAGCAATCTCGAAATAAAGTTTCACTTCCTTATTTGGAAACAAATCTATATCAAAATAATATGTAGTACAAAATAATGCGAAATAGTGCCAAAATAATGTCATCTACAGTAAAATTTACCATCATTGTGGGAGTATGGGACGTAGGAAGTACTACAATATTAAAATGTTCCTTATTCAAAATATATTCATAAAAAATATAAATTTATAAATTATATACAAATATAATAATTACAATCATTATTCAAAATTTGTCATCATTTATCAAGAAAAGTTAATATGACAAATCTTTCGCAAGAGACATACAACATATCCAATACTTGAATGAATATAATTAATTGATCCCTGTCCGTAGTTAGATTTCTTAGCAAATAGAGTTTATATATTCAGAATCTATATTAAAAAATTTATATAGTCACAAAAAAAAAACTCAAATTTGATAAAAGTTAGATATATAAACTAAAAGAGTAATTAAGAATACTTTACGTTAACCGGAAATAGTGGTCAAAAACTTTTAAATGAGTAGGAGGTAGTATATATTAACCGTCAAAGTTGTGCTTTGATAAATGTAAAAAATGTATATTTTATACCCAGAGTATCAAATATATGTCCATAATCTACATTAAAAGTTTTAAAAAGTCGCAAAAGAAAAACTCAAATTAAATAAAAGTTATATTTACTCTTTATAAAATAAAAGAGTAATTAAGAAAACTTTACGTTAAGCGAACAATAGAGGACATAAACTTTTGAGGGAAAGTTCCCGAAATAGGACTAAATCAGTTTGAAAATTCCAAAATATGACTGTCATGTTTTTTATTCCCAAAATAGGACTAATTACTGTCATGTTTAAAATATATTGTCATGTTTGAAGTCCGGTACTGTCAAAACATGACAGTAATTAGTCTTATTTTGAGAATAAAAACATGGCAGTCCTATTTTGGAATTTTCAAAATCTTTTAGTCCTATTTCGAGTAATATTCTCAATTTTTAAATTAGAGGTAGCATATATTAACCTTCAGATTAAAGTTGTGGTTCAATACATGTGAAAAATGGATTGCTTCACTCCTTAAAAAAGAGAGAAGCGGTATAATATTTTATAGAGAATAATACCCGAAATAGAACTAAACAGTTTGAAAATTCCAAAATAGGACAACCACGTTTTTATTCCCCAAATAGAACTAATTACTGTCATGTTTTGACAATAACAGACTTCAAACATGACATTAATTGATTCTATTAGGAGAATAAAAAAATGACAACCTTTTTTGGAATATTCAAATTGTTTTAATCCTATTTTCGGAAACTTTCCCAGAAGTAAGCAGTATCCAATACGAAACATTTGAGTATATATAAAAAGATGAATATAGAGAGAAGAGATGATTGAATATATATAGACCGATAGAAAGAGAGAGTTGAATACCAGCTCACGCATGCGTGCTCGATCCATCACTTCTTTTATTCAATTCGATCCCTCTAAGCTACCACGCTCATCCATGTGATAGATTCTTCATCCAATCATACATACCATTTCTTCTGTGGGATAATATAAACAATTAATTACTATGGGGTTGAACACACAGCAGGTTCCCGGCGATCATCTTCTTCCCCCAGCTCCGGCGTCAGTACAGAAACAACCGCCACCTAAACCGCCGCAGGATCAGCCTTTGAAGTGTCCGAGGTGCGCCTCAACAAAGACCAAGTTCTGTTACTACAACAACTACAACAAGTCTCAGCCCAGGCACTTCTGCAAAGGCTGCAAACGCCACTGGACGGCCGGCGGCACCCTCCGCAACGTCCCCGTCGGCGGCGGCCGCAAGAATCACGGTTCTAATTTTCACAAGCGCCTCATCAAGACTGATAAACGTGCTCCCGCCGCGACGTGTGATCAAGAACCACCGGCCAGTACTGATTCAATTAACGGCGTGACGATGACTAACGTTGACCCGTCTTCGCCGTTACTTCCACGTGGCAACGATATAAAAGTCCCGCCTTTTCCGGTCCAGAGCTCTTTCTGCTACTTTGATAGCGATATAATCCATAATTGGGTGGAGGTAACACAATTAGAGCATAATAATTTTTCTTCTTTGGGTAATTATGCATATAATGACATCATCGGAGAGTTTGATTATGCCGAGGAATCAGCAATTACAACGTTAATGCCATTCACAAGCTCTAATAATACCATTCTTTCTCATCAGTCATGGAAAGACGAGCAAGAAGAAGGATTGGATATTACCACCTTGTGGAGTTTAAGTGATATAGATTCTCTTGTTTCTGCCGATCTCAATAATACTCCATGGGATGATTTAGAGATCAACCCCAAGGGAAATTCGTAGTTTTTTTTTAATTTTCCAATTCTTTTTTTATTATCATTTATACTAATATACAAAATTAGAAAAAATAAACACATTTCCGACCAATTTAGGTGATTGGTCAGCGTGAATTAGTTGGAAATTTTAGCCTACTGATTCAATCATTCATATAATTAAACTGTTGTGAACGGGTTGTATTGCTTTGTAATCTTTTGTGATATATATATAAATCCCGACATTAATCCATGGCTTATCCATTTTACTAATTAACTTTTTATAATTGACTACATGATTTTTATTTTGTCCGTTGATTTATGTACTCCCTCCGATCCCAAAACAAATTCACACTCACTATTCATTAGTCAACTTAAATCATTCTTAATCTTTTACTTTATATATCAATTTTTTATCAAAATTAAATTTTCTTGATAAGATTTTGTAGCGGTTTTAATATAGTTTCTAAATATGTAAATTTTATTTACTAAAAAAATCCGAGCGTGAACAGTAGGGATGGACTCGGGTCCGGGCCGGGTCCGGGTCGGGCCTAGGCCCGGGCGGGCCGGCGGTTCAGGAATGGTGGACCCGGGACCGGCCCGGGTAGCCACCGGGTCCGGTCCGGTCCGGGTAGCCACCGGGTCCGGTCCGGTCCGGGTCCAGGCCGGGCCGGGCCTCCGATTTGGTTTTTTTTTTTTGCTTTCCTACCCCTCCCCTCCCAAACCCCCCAAACCCATCCTACCCATCAAGCCCAACCCGGGTGGAACCCCAAAAATGAAAAAAAAAAAATCAATTTGACCCGGGCACGGACCCGACCCGGCCGGGCCGGTTCACCAAATTAGAGACCCGAGCCCGGACCCGCCCTACCTCCCGGGCCTAGGCCTGACCCAGACTCGAGAATCGGGCCGATCCCGGTCCCGTACAGTAACGGGCCGGCCCAGTCCACATAGTGAACATGGATCGAGTTGCTTTATCATCAGTCAAACATCGTAAACCGTGAGTGAATTTCTTTTGAGACCGGAAGGAGTAATAATCATAATAAGGTAAACTATTTTTGGGGCCGCATTGATCGAAGTTACTTAAAAGATTATTTAAGACAAATTTTCATACGAATAATTTTTTCTCTATTTTATTAATAAAATATACTTTGTATCTTCATATACTTTTTTCATAAATCAACAGAATCAATTATTCTAGTTACTTCAGTTGGAACTTCATAAATTTAAGCAAAATGAACCGATCTATCCAATTTGAGTGTTACCGAGTGTGCTTGTAATCTTTTGTTTTTTTGTGTAAAATTAATTTATAACCGTGTACGCAAAAATGCTCTATGACTTGTACAAGGATTACATTTCTTGAAGCATCATTTATGTTGCTTTAAAATCATCAAAACATGAAATCTTAAATATAAAAAACAAATGAACCAACAATGACAGTATGACACAAACATTACAGAAAGGAACGTGATCTTAAGAAGTTAAGATATACAAAGTTGTGTTATAAAGATATTGGACAAAGCGAAACTGAAATACTGAACATAAATCAGTGTCTAACTGTGGATATAGCATTGTGAAGCTGTACTGGATTTGAAACGGTATTGCTTGTTCCTCTGTAGGTTTGTAAACTTGCAGGCCAAAGTCTGCAAGACTCCAACTGCACATGGTGGACGTGTAGCCTAGGCATGGAGCAGACTTGGGCCTAGCTTGAGAGGAGAGGATACAACTATAAAACAATAGAAATATTTTTTTTCCTCATTAATAAAGGCTGATGTTTAATATGGATATGCACCATTTTAAAAAAAGGCAGAATCTATGTTGATGGAGAAAAGGCTGAAGCTCATAACTGCGAATATAGCCCTAGGCAATTGCAATATATGACCTGGGAAAAAAGCACTAACAATCAGGTTTTAACAAATGTGAGCACCAAAAGTCTCAAAAAAGAAGCTCTTCGTACATATGTTACACAGTAAAGAGACACAATTGTGTTCAACAATGTGTCATGTGGCCTTGCAGTCTCGTATCATCAGTTCATCACCGTTGAGGTGTCTTTTTACGCCTATACCCTGTCAGCAATTCCTGCAAATACATTCGTAAGTGATCTCCCATTGTAGGCTTGTAGCAGCACAAAATGGAAATATAGTAACTATATGCTAATGGAATTCAGCCACTGCTAAAAGCTAAGAGCCTATTTCGTTAAGGTAAAATATAGTTGAAGCCTTGAAATGCAAGTGACAGAAGCTGCTGAAGTTGCAAAATTTGTGCTGCAATTGGCTAAATCTTAAATAAATTGTAAAAAAAATGATATGTTCAATAAAATAAAATCAGAAGTTAAGCTGAAAGGCATTTTCTTCTTATGTTTCAATCATTTCCGCCTAAAAAGAATGCATGTTATACTTATTTAGTTATTCATAATAAAACTTCTATTCAATAGTCATATAAAACTGATAGTAATATTTGCCTCAAAAAGACAGACATATGATCATATGCGGTGTTTTTCCCTTCTATTAAATGTGTAATTAAAAGTTTGACTCAATTGACATGTTCTGCTGAAATTGTGGCGTGTTGAGCTAAATCTATCAAACAAATTCAAAACTATTTTTTCTTAATAGAACACAAAAAACACAACCTGAAAATAAGGGTAAAATAACATTTTCTTCATTTCAAGCATTCACTACTTTCTTCCTATTACAAACTGATCCAGGGAGTACATCAAATACTTCCTCTGTCTCTAAATAATTGCAACACTTTCCTTTTTTGGCAGTTTCAAATTAATTGCAACACTTCCATTTTTGGTAAACAAAATAAATACAATGTCAATAATGCCCCTAATGATTTTATACCTACCATTTCTAATTTTTCTCTCCCCCACCGATCTCCCATTTCTCTCTTTCCCAACATTTCTTGCCATCCACCCCTTGAGTTATCTTCCTCCTTATACACTGTCTCTTTCTAATCTAACATGCCCACACCGTGTTTACTCCTTCAGCCTTTACCATCCCAAATAATTTAGTTTTCATTTTTGTTAGCTTTTCCCCCGAAATGGAGATTTGGAGAGATCTAGATTCAAACAAGGGACTGAACATCCCAAGAATCATGTTCATACGGGTAGTGCTGCTTCTCCTTCGTCCGCTCGACTAAGATCATGGAGTCCAAGGTTCTGGGGAGGGTGGAGTCAGAGACGAAGATGTTCACCGTCGCCGACTTCCGGCGCCGTAGGATGACAAAATTCAGTTTTGCAATGCTCAGGTGAAGGGGTGCGTGGTGGACCCGAAAGAAATCAAAAGTGAGGCCCAGAAAGAGATGGCGGAAAAGCTGCTCCGGGCGGTGACTTCGGCTCACGGTGTTATCGCGAACAACTTCTGTGAGATGGAGCCGGAATTTGTGGAAGAGTATAATCGGCTCTCCTATTTGTAATCTGAAAAGCAGTACTATTCTTGTACAGTAATATGTCCATAGCCTATTATCAACTTCAACCCAAAGTGTAGTACCGAAGGGTAAAATAGAAAGAAAATCACTTTATTTACTTTTCTTAAATCCTGTGCCGAAACCTCATGTTGCATCTATTGTGAGATGGAGGATAGTAAGTCATTGTGTTTGGGATGACTTATTTTTGGAACACGTACTCTTTGAAGTACTTTAAATTTAAGGATTTTGTCTTTGGGAGGAAACATAAAATGTGTTTTTAAGTCCCTTTTTTCTTATACAAGAAAGCACCAGTTAATAATATGCACTTCTTATAAAAGCACTTATAGGATAGCACATGTGATCCCAAACACGCACTATGGTAATTTGGTAAAACTAAAAGAGGTCGATAATCAGAACAACTCTTCTACCAAACGGGCACTTAGAATATACATGCAAGGTTTAGTAAAACTTGCCTATTGGGCTGCGTCTTCAGAAAACCGAGCATCAAAGGGAGCAGAAGTGTGAGTGTGGGATGAGGCACCAGCTGTCCCAGAACCTTGCTGAAGTTCAATCACTAACCATCTGACAGCTTTACTCATCTGCTCCAACCGAACTGCACTGATGGGCTGTACACCACCTAAAGCAGCTGGCTGCCCAGAAAGAGAACCAGTTGCCTCATCCACCAAACATTCAGACCCGATTCTTTGCTTCACAGACTCCACAAATTCCTCTGCCTGATCACATGCAACTCTGAACAACTCCCAACGTTGCTTGAAGTTTTCTAGAGCAGCATCAGTCACCCCAGTTTTCAGACCACCAGAGCTCTCCTTTGACTCAAGTACATTGGCTGCTGCTGCAACAAATTCTAGGTATGCGTTGTTTAAAGAATCCACAAGATTGTCCATCAAAAAGAGCCTTCCTGAATACAACCCCACCAATGAACTTCGGGTGAAATACAACAGACGCAGTAAAAATTCATTTTTGTAGGATCATAGATGTGTTGAAAATTTGATAGGCACACATATAATATCAATTCATACCGCTCAAGAAAATGATAGTGAATGGATGAACTGTTCATAACCCTCTTATTTCCAAGTTAAACTCTTCCACAGGAACATTTAGAACATAAGAGTAAGTGAGAAAGGTGCTAATTCCTAACATAATGTATTTTTATTTTATTTTCTTGAGTTCTAGATTTGATATGCTTGAAATGACTAGAACTCTGAACAAATTTGTAATTCTTTTACTTTTGAACTTGATTTTTATAAGACTGAAAAATTCAAAGAACCGAAATATAACTTTAGGATAAATCAGTTTGAGTGTATGTGTAGTTTAGATTAAATCTTTTAATGTATGACATACATAATACGAAGTGTGTGTGTATGTGTATGTGTGTGTATATAAAGATTTATGTCCCCTTTATATGTGTTACTATACCATATAGAATGTATAGCAGTACAAAACTACAAATCCCAAACTTATCTTTCTTAGATTTCCGGTGTTGCCTTCCCAATTGAGATTTATTTACCCCACTGATTTTGGTGGTTCACCTTCCGGGGTACAAAAAAAACACGCCAAGTCGTCAACACTTTAAATATTCATCAAAACATCATTTAAGTTGTTCCCTACGCAACTTCGAATGATAGAATCTACGTCTATATTATTGACAAAATCTCGTTCAGTACAAGTTCAGAACTCCCTTCACCACTTCGGCGATTCACCTTCGGAAAGAATGACGAAATCAACTTCTTTCCTTTCTTGGCAATATGTTCATTATCCCTTCTAAAAAACATTTTCAATATTGGTATGAATTAAAATACTTCTATAAAAATATAAAATTATAAAACTAACAAGAAAAAAACAATTGTTGTACATAAAACTAATAAGGATTCCCAATTTTATAATTCAATTGAAATTTTCAATTTTTCTTACATGTCCACACAATAAATAAATCATTCTCTAATCTTCAATTGTATAATCAATAAATCATTCTCTAAGATTTAATTCTATCTTTAATCATTATAAATTTGTAAGGAATTTTTTCCCTATTTTATTATGCAATGAAAAAATCAACTGATAAAATTGATTAAGGACTAACCCTAACACTCTAAAAGGCTAAAAATTATTATACAAGTTAACACAATCACAAAATAAGAGAGAAAAAGTCTAAGAAACTGACCTGCGCCAGAGCTGGACGCAGAGCCAGAGAGAAAGGAGTCGAAGGACGCTGGACGGCGGAAGCACGGCGTGGACGGAGGAACGAGGCGTGGATGATGGCTTGGTGTTCTCGTCTTCGTCGCAGGGTCGCAGCTCACAGGTTCTCCGTTCTCGCCTTCTTCCTCGCACTCTGCCTCGGATCAGGAGCCTCTGCCTCGGATCAGGAGCCTCTGCCTCTGTCTTCGTTCTTCGTTTTTCTTTCTTCTCTGCGCGCAGGTTAGTTCATTAGTATGGGCTAATGGGCTGGGCTGTTGGCCGGGAATATATATTTCAGGGTGGACTGTGAATAAATTTTGAAAAATGCTAGAAGTACAAACACACTTACAAAAAAACTTACAAACAAGTGATGTGACTATTCTAATTACTATTGATATGAAAGTGTTGTAAATGTGATGTGATGTATTAAATAATGTGATGATGCCACATACCCCTTTTGTAAGACTTTTTGTAAAAGTTTTTGTACCTCTAGCATAACTCATAAATTTTGGGGTGCCCTGATATTAATAAAACTTGGTGCAAGTTACTTAATTACCCATAGAGTCTACTTTTGGGTATAGGATATCATTTACGGCCCCACTGATCTTTTTCTTCATTTTTAACTTTTCTCTTTTTCAGTATTGGTTTTCTTTTAGGTTGTTTCACCGATTCCCCAAATATTTATATAATATAAAGTAACAGTGTATGCACAATTATTGGAGGAAAAATTCCCGCCCAAAATAAGGACAAAATAGGGAATTAATGAAAAATCCAAATTTGGTAATTAGTTATATTAAATGAATGAAAATTTGGCTCCAAAATTCCCGCCTAAAATGAAAATAAGATACTACGTATTAATTAATTATGATGATATCTAATTTGGTATAAATTTTCTCTACCATATATCATATATATACTCTGTATACTAATAACTAATGATAGTAGACACAAGAATAGTTTAACTCAAATTTGACAACAAATCTGAATCACACGTGTGTTACTTATATAAATAATAATAATACTTGGCAACAAATCTGTCATCATAATTAATTACCGCACAAAGTTTGTGCTACAGTTTTTCTAAGTTAAATCTTATAACGTAAATCTTATTTGTCGTGTAATATGTCACAAATTATAATCTACACAAAGATATATTAAAATGTAGTAATTATAACCAATGAATAATTATAATCATTTAAATACTCTAATTACACAACGTAATTAACTGAGTTGCTAATTTAATGAGATTTTTCATTTCAACTTATGTGAGAAATAATAAAAGTAAAAATTATGACATTGGGGTTCGTCACAGGAGAGAGAAACAAGTTGATTCATTGTTTAAAATGAAAGTTATAAAGTTTTTTGGAACAAACAAAAAAGAAAAGTTGGCAAAGTTGAGTGAGAAGGGCGGGGGTATAATTTAGGAGAAATTTTCCAATATAGGTGTAAACATGTTTTGGAATTCCAAAACAGGACTACTATATTTGTTTTCCCGAAATAAGAGTATTTACTGTCATTTTTGACTTTTCACCGTCAAAATAGTTACAATACTCGGAATTGACATGACAATATGTATTGTCATTAATGATAGTATTTTTCAGTCATTACAATAACAACTCCTATTTAGGAAAGAAAAACATGTAAAGTAGTCCTATTTTGATATTGAAAACATGTTTACTCCTATTTATGACAATTTCCCTATAATTTAGTCATCGATTTACCATTATAGTATTAATTATCAATATTATTTCTTATAATCTTTGTTTTTATAAAGTAAAAAAATATGTGACAGAGAAAGTATATTATCTCTATTCCGGTGGACTTTGTCAACTTCAAAATATGTGAGAAATAATAAAACTAAAAATTATGAGATTGAGGTTTGTCACAGGAGAGAAAAACAAGTTGATTCATTGTTTAAAATGAAAGTTATAAAGTTTTTTGGAACAAACAAAAAAGGAAAGTTGACAAAGTTGAATGAGACGGAGGGCGTATAATTTAAGAGAAAATTCTCAATATAGGTGTAAACATGTTTTGGAATTCCAAAATAGGATTACTATATTTGTTTTCCCGAAATAAATATAGTTGATGGATAGTCTACCCGGGGGTATATATCCGAAGGGTTATTACGGGGAATAACTTAGAGAGAAGTCAGAGCAAGTAAGTAAAAGTAGAGAGAGAAAATGTATTATAAATGCGGAGTGTTTTCAGCGTGTTATGACTTGGTTACGAATGGGGAAAAGGGGTGCTATTTATAGCAGCAATAAATGCCGGGCAGGGACACGTGTCAAGCGCTCATTGGCCGAGGGGTCACCTCAACTGGTTGGCGCTGGCAGCCGCATGTGGCCGCATTTAATGCGGCTGTTGGATGGGACGTCTGTGCGGGGTACGGTGATCTGTACGCATGTGAGGCGGATATCTTGTCGAGTGAGATCCCTTCGGCTATAAAGCAGTAGCCGAGGGCTCTTCCACCCGATGGCACCCCTGGTGCCGAGGGCTCACAGTGCCGAGGGCTACTGTCTTCGCCGTTTTCTCCCAGTTTCTTAGTTTGCTTGAGAAACCCGTTCTGTGAGAATTTGGAGCCTTCGGCCAGGGGGCCGAAGGCACCCCTGGCGCGTAGTGCGGGCTGCTTGGTACTCTGGGCGCTGTGATTTGGGCCTGTTGGGCCTTTTGGGCCTGTTGGACCTTTGCTTGGAGTAGTAGGAGTCTGTGGGCCGGGGGTTCCCGGGCCATATACTCCATCAGGAGTCCCTCACTCCTTTTGCCGAAAGGTACTTGAGGGAAAAGGAGTAATTTGTGCTTGCCCTTTGATGTTGTCCCGTCGTGATTCCTGAAGTTGGTGAGGATTTGTTGCTTTTATGTCCCTGCCGAAGGCAGTCCCTCAGTTACCCACATGTCGGGACTTGAGGGCTTGCTTTGTTGTTCGTTGGAATTTCACAGATTTTGTAATTTAATGATTTTCCCGAAGGGGTCCTCCAGTCCCCCACTCCTTGAGGCACTTGTAAAGTGGTGAAAAGGAGTAGAGTAGTTGCGTTGCTGTTGTGGGCCGAAGGCTGACGCTTTTCGTTTCATTTTGGGGGGATGCCTCGTTAAAAACCTCATTAGGAAAAACCCTTTGGGAAAAAATCCTAATGAGGGAAAAAGAGTGCACCGAATTCCCCCGATGATGAATCGAAAATGTCAAACCTTGGTAAAAAATGGAGAATGGCGAGAATGCCGAAGGCTCTCTTCTGAGGGCTTCTGTGTTGATTGGCCGAAGGCTTGGTGTGGATGTCCTGGTGGCGCCGAAGGGGAGCCCCTCAATTCGGGGATCGAGGGCCTGCCAGATGAGGGCAGCAGTGAAGCTGTTACCGGGGGGTCCACTGTTTGTTGATGAGTTGGTGATGAAGATACCCGAGGGCCATGGGCCACCCGTCAATGAGGCACTCCCCGGGGGCTACTGGGTTTTGCAGTGCTGAGGGGGAAACCCCGGGGGGTGCCCTGATATGCAGCCCTAGGGATCTGAAGGAGTGATCCCGAAGGCGTGTGTAATGTGCTGTGTGGGGCACAACCCGGAGGCACTTCTGGGTGAGTGCACCCGGAGGCTATCCTTGATGAAGTGGAGTGAAGTAGAAAACCCGGGGGCTTCCAAAATATAGCCGTTGGAAATATAGCCGTTGGAATATGTAACGACGGGATATAGCCGTTGGGGGGGGCACACGTGGCGTGTGATGGCTGGCTGTCCGTGGGCGGCGTCACCGGTTGGGCGAAGACGCGGTGAGTAATGATGGCGTCCATCCGGAGGCCCGGAACCCAGGCCCAAGCCCGGATTCCAGCGCCTATAAATACCCCAAGGCCAGAGCCATTTCCTCTTGTGCGATCAGTTGTTTTAGCGAAGCTCTGCCAAAAAATCTAGTGAGAGAAACTCCAGCCTTCGGTCCTAACTCAGCTTTCGAGGTCAGTGCTCCCTGCCTTTCTCCTTCTAGTATAGCTGTACGTTGTGCCCTCGGGTTAGGAGATAGAATTCACTAGAAACCTTAGTTCCCCCGAACCCTCGAGCTAGAGTTTAGAATGTCGTCCCAGAGTGACTCTCAGGACATCTCGAGGACGCCCTCGATGGAGGACGAAGGCATCTCCGATGTGGAGTCCAGCAGCAGTCATCCCTCGGATGGTGGTGACGTAGCCCTCGCCACTGAGGTGCAGAAGGATCTGACGGCCGAGGCCGAGGCGGAAGAATTCGAGCGGACCGCGGAAGATGAGGAGTTGGCCCTCGCCGTCCAGATTGCTGAGGAGGAAGAGGAGAAGGAGAGGGCGAAGGTCACTGTGGCCGTCCTTCCCCCTCGGGGTGCTGGTGAGGCCAGTACCTCCCAGCCGCTGAATGCAGTTCCCATCCGGGTGGCCCCCGGGAAGAAGAAGAGGAAGACGAAGGCTGGCCCCCAGAAGAAGGTAAGGGTCGTCGATCAAGGGGGGCCAGTTGATCTACCAGAGGGTTACTCCTTCCTGGACACCGCCGCTCTGGAGATTAAGTCCCAAGCTGACAGGGCGGACATCTACATCACCCAATTGCACGTAGGGCCCTCGGTCGCAGTAGTCGAGCCGGGTCCTGATGACGTGCTGTCCCGGCCTCCCGAGGGATGCATAGCCGTGCACGTGCTCTCGGTTTCAATGGGCCTCCGATTCCCTCTCCACCCGTTCCTTCGGGAGTACCTCAGGTACACTGGCCTGGTTCCCTGCCAATTGACCCCCAACAGCCATTCATACATAGCTGGGTTTGTGAACCTGTGCACACTCCGGGGGGTTACACCGAGCTTGGAGTTATTCTTCCAAAGCTTCAACCTATGCCGGAGGGGCCACACCAATGCCGAGGGCTATGCGAACTTACAGCAGATAGCCCAGTTCAAACTGTTCACCGAGGCCCCTTCTTCCAACAAGGGGTGGAGAGAGCGATGGTGCTACATCAGACTGGCCGACAGCCCTTTCCCGAGGGAGTTGCGGAATTGCTTTCGGCGCCATGTGAAGGTCAAGAGTGCCGCCCTCGAGAAGGATGGCCTGAAGATTGCCAAGATTCCCGAGGGTCGGACAAAGAACGTAACCATCAAGGAGTGCACCCTCGAGGAAGACCTGTATGCTCTCGGATTCCTGAGGTATCGGTTCATTGGGGAGACAGATGAGAAGTATCCTCTCTACGATAAAGCCTTCGTGGGAGCAGGAGGTAGTGGCCGGGGGCTTTGCATTTTCGTACTTAGAGATTTTTTGTTATGTTTGTTGTCGTGTCTCTGACCCCTCGGTTCTAACCTTTCAACTTGTTGCTGTCGTTCTTTGCAGGTAGCAGGATGAATGCCAACGCCTTGTTCGCGAAGAGGAAGGGCAAGACCCAGCAAAAGGAGAGGGGGCCCTCGGGCCAGAAGCCAGTTGACGCGCTTTTCCCGAAGGTCATAGAGCCTTCCGCCGGGGACGCCCATGCTGCTGTGGGGACTGGGGGGTCGAAGGCCGAGGCGGCCGCTAAGAAGAAGAGGAGCGACAAGGGGGTGGAGCCCCCCACCAAGAAGCAGAAAGGCGCCGGGGGTGCTGTCGGGGGGGCGGCCCCCCTCATAGTTATTGATGACATGCCCGATGTTGATGGGCCTCTGGCCTCGGTCCCCCCGAAGGATCCGGTGAATCCCCCCCGGGCGGAATCACCCCGGGAGATCCGTCAGCTCTCCTTTGCCCCCGGCGCTTCGTTGATGCACGGCACTGCCGAGCCGAAGGCCTTCCTGCGGGGCATCACCTCGAAGATGGACAGGGAAGTCTTCGAGACCTACGATGACGATGCCCTCGAGAACAGGATCCTCCGGTCCTCGCTCACTGTAAGTATCCGCTTCCTTTTTCCTTATCTTGTCAGTTTAGTCTTATTTTTCCTGAGGAACAATCTAACTCCTTTGATCATTGTTTGCAGGCCTGCATAGCCCTCGGGGAACAGGCCCGGAGGCGCGAGGAAAGGCGTCTTCACGAGGCTGCCCAGGATAAGAAGGTGGAGGGGCTGATCCGCAAGAACTCCGAGGCGGTGAAGCATGCTGCCCCGCTGGAGGAGGCCCTTCGGGAGGCGAAGGCGGCGGCGGAGAAGGCCAAGGCTGATGGCATAGCCGAAGGCAAGGCAGAGGCCGAGAGGGCTGCTGCCGAGGCGGCGAAGAAAGCCGCCGATGAAGCCCAAACTGCTAAGGAGAGAGCTGCGGCCGAGGCCCGAGGGGAGGCAGTTGCGGAGTTCCTTGCTGAGGGCTGGAGGGCCGAGGGCCACAAGGAGTGGGTTGCCTCCGTGGTGGCAGCCTCGGTGGACGCTTGGGTAGAAGGCCCCGAGGTTGACTGGCTGACTGACAGGGGGGACGCCTACTACCAGGGAGGTGAGTTCTTTACCCAGCACCTGATCTACCGGAGGCTTGCCAGGCACTTTGGCGTGTCCCTCGAGCAATTCGACCCCTCGGCATATGGCCTCCCTCCGTTGCAACCAGATGTCAGAGTTCCCCTTCCCCCGGGTGAAGAGCGGCCGACAATCTATGATTCTGTAATGATGGGGGGTGACGGGGGTGGAGCCGTCGGGGGTGATGCTGCCGGAGAAGAAGTCTCCTCCAAGGTTGTCGTGGAAGATGCCCCCGGAGACCATGAGGTTGAAGCCGCCGAGAAGAGTAGTACTTAGTCACTTTTTTGAAAAAGCTTTGTAATGAACATTTGTCACCCTTCAGCTTTGGCCATACTCTGTAACAAACACACTTGAATCCCTTTCTTTTGTTGAATGAATGATTGCCTTCGGGCCTTGTACATGTGGCTTGTTTTTTCCAATTCCTTTCTCCTTGAATGCATGCCTTCGTTTTTGTCTTGGATGTATGTCTTTGCTCCTTTGAGTGTATGTTTTAGGACTTAGAATATTATCTGATTGTAGCTAGCCCTTGGGAGCCTTCGGTAGTTGGGCACCCTCTGCTGGATATGCAACCGAGGGTTCGGCAGCAATTAGGACTTAGAAAATTTTTCTAAGTGTAGCACACCATAGGGCCTTCGGGTGTTTGCAGTAACCCAAATCCTAGGACTTAGAAAAATTTCTAAGTGTAGATTTCCCTTGTGAGCCTTCGGGATATGGCGTCCCCTCCTGATGTGTAAATGTTGGACCGAGGGCCCAATGTATAGGACTTAGAATTTTTTTTGCAAGTGTAGTGTGTCACGTAGCCTTCGGCTACTGTGGAGCCCCAACTGCAATATTGATTAGGCCGGGGGCCAATTCTTCAGGACTTAGAAAATTTTCTTCAGTGTTGATTCTTTGTGTACTGTAACCTTCGATTGATAGGAAACCTTCGGCCATTAGGTCCCTTGAGATGAGGGTGAAATATGTAGGACTTGGAAAATCTTCTAAGTGTAGAGTTTCCCTTGGGAGCCTTCAGGAGATGGCATCCCTTCATGATGTATGAGTAGTTGACCGGGGGGGAAAATATGCAGGACTTAGAAAATCTTCTAAGTGTAGAGTTTCCCTTGGGAGCCTTCGGGAGATGGCATCCCTTCATGATGTATGAGTAGCTGTCAGGGGGGGGAAATATGTGGGACTCAGAAAATCTTCTAAGTGCAAAATCTCCTTTGGGAGCCTTCGGGAGATGGCATCCCTCCTTGATGTATAAGTAGTTGACCGGGGGGGAAATATGCAGGACTTAGAAAATATTCTAAGTGCAAAATCTCCTTTGGGAGCCTTCGGAAGATGGCATTCCTCCTTGATGTATAAGTAGTTGACCGGGGGGGGGGGGAATATGCAGGACTTAGAAAATATTCTAAGTGTGAATTTTCCCTTGGGAGCCTTCGGGTGACAGGTGCCCTCTGATTCCACATCACTTTACAGATGCCCGGGGGCTACTCATCTAGGACAGAATACTTTTTTTTTAAGTGTTGTTGTATTGCATGGCCTTCGGCCACCACATTCCCTTGGCTGTAATATTGATTGGGCCGGGGGCCCCATCTTTAGGACTTAGAATTTTTTCAAGTGCTGCTTCCCTGTGTAGCCTTCGGGTGCCCGGGGGATGCTCCTTCAGGACTTTGAATTTTTTCTAAGTGCTGCTTCCCTGTGTAGCCTTCGGGTGCCCGGGGGCTGCTCCTTCAGGACTTAGAATTTTTTTTAAGCATAAATTGATGTTGAATCCTGTTGTTGTGAAGAAAGCCAATGAGGAGTGTGTGCCCTCGGCATACACTTTAAAAGTTGTAGAATTTGACCCCTGTCATGGGGATAGGGCCCTCGGTATTTGTGCATAACAGATGCCTTCGATGTTTGTTTGAAGTACCGTTTAGTGGACCTTGGATAGTCCAGTCCCTTTGTATTGTTGAAGCCTTCGGTGTTTTTGTGACCGGAGGTGACCAGGTAGTGGACTTAGCCGTTTCCTGATGATATTTCTTTGAGTAGTATCCTTCGGGAAATAGGAGTCTTCAATCACCGGAGGTGTTCCCGTGGGGAGCCCTCGGCATGTTGTGATATTGTTGGAGTGTACTCTTTGATTTCTCGCTGAGTCTACTCCCCTTCACCCCCTTGTTTTTTTTTTTGGTTGGTGGTGAAGGGAAGGCATCAAGAAACTTGGTTTCTTGGTAAGGCTGGGCCTATTAGGAGACCATCAGAATACACCAATGGCTCTCCTCCCTCGGGTTAACCTTCCGAGTGCCGAGGGGATCGAGGGACGTTTCCTGGGCACAAGATATGGTGGTCCGTAACCTGCCTCCCCTTGGGGGATGGCGCGGAAAGCGCCTCATTTTTGAAAGTCGTCCCCTCGGCGCTAGACATAGTCTGTGGCCTGCCACACCCTTGGGGTGGTGGCGCGGGGAGCGTTCCGGTTTGGAAGTCGAATCCTGGGCATTTCTCATGCCTGTCATACCCTGGGGGTAATGACGCGGATAGTGTTCCGTTTTTGAAAGTCGAATCCTGGGCATTTCTCATGCCTGTCATACCCTGGGGGTAGTGACGCGGAAAGCGTTTCAAGGAAGGGTTTTCATTTGCACACTAGTTGCAAATGGCCGGGGGCACTACGTGCCGCCGACACCGATGGTGGCGCCTTCGGTATATGCGTCCTCGTGGGGTACGGCTTTTAGAAACAACACTTGGTGTTAGTTTCGATGTGTAGCCCCCGGTACTTGGTACCGAGGGGTCTTCTGTAGGAACACTTGGTGTTCTCTTTTGTTGTAGTTGATGTAGGCGTCTACCCTCGGTACTTGGTACCGAAGGGTCTTCAAATGAAACACTTGGTGTTTCCCAATAGATGTCTGGAAGCTGTTAGGAGAGCATATCCCTGGCACTGGGTGCCGAGGGGTCTTCTTTGAAACACTTGGTGTTTTTTCTTCGTTTCGATGTTTGATGATGGAGGTGTACCCTCGGCACCGGGTGCCGAAGGGTCTTCTGTAGGAACACTTGGTGTTCTAATCTTTTCTTTTTTGATGTTGAAGGTGGGGATGTACCCTCGGCACTGGGTGCCGAAGGGTCTTCTGTAGGAACACTTGGTGTTCTCATCTTTTCTTTTTTGATGTTGAAGGTGGGGATGTACCCTTGGCACTGGGTGCCGAAGGGAAATGAAATACATGGTGTTCCTTGTTGTTGGTGATAGGAGTTCCCTCCCTCGGTACTTGGTACCGAGGGGTCTTGGCTGAAAACACGTGGTGTTTTCACTGTTTGTTGTAGGTGTTGATGGTGTCCGCCCTCGGCACTTGGTGCCGGAGGGGGTTCTTCTCGTGGTGAGGCCTGGGGCCTGTAGTCAGTATGAGGGCTTGATGTCTTGAATGTATCTTCATTCTTCGAAATTGGAGGCCTCGGGCCATAGGATAGTACATTCACTAGTTATGAGGGCTTGGCCGCTCTTACATTATTGATAAAATTTAACTAAATGGTGTACATTCCAGTGCCTAGGGACTTCTTTCCCATTGGGGCGTTTGAGCTTGTAGGTCCCGGGTTTGATGATGGCTGCTATGATGTAGGGGCCTTCGAATTTTGGTGCCATTTTTCCTCCCTCGGTTGGTTGGCTGGCTTCCCTCCTCCGGAGGACATAGTCCCCCACTTGAAATTCTCGGGTGCGAACCTTGGCGTCGATGTAGCTTTTAACTTGCCTTCGGTAGTTTTCTGCCCGGATGAAGGCCTGCTCCCGGCGTTCTGAAATGAGGTGGAGGTCGAGGGCCATGTTGCTGTCATTGACCTCGGGGTCATATTGGATCACCCTTCGGGTAGGAAGGGTGACTTCCGTAGGAGCTTTGGCTTCAAAACCGTAGCAGAGGGAGAAGGGTGTTTCACATGTTGCTCGCTGAGGGGTGGTGCGGTAGGCCCAAAGGATGTTGTGAAGTTCTTCTACCCAGCCACCGCCCTCGGCCTCCAGCTTCTTTTTGAGGCCCTCGAGCAAGGTCCGGTTGGCATTCTCTACTTGCCCGTTGCCTTGAGGGTAGGCAACGGAGGAGAAGGTGTGTTTGATGCCCCATGCCTCCAGAAGGGCACAGAAGGGGGCTGCCTCGAATTGTGTTCCATTTTCGGAGATGATCTGCTGGGGGACGCCAAACCTGGTGAGGATGTTCTTGAGGACGAAGTGACGGCACTTCGCCTCTATGATACTGGCGAGGGGTTCAGCCTCCACCCACTTGGTGAAATAGTCGACGGCCACAATGATGTATCTGTTGTTGGAGGTACCCCTCGGCAGAGGGCCCACAAGGTCTATCCCCCATCGAGAAAATGGGACAGAGGTGCTGATGGGGGCATAGTTGACCGCTGGCCTGCCGGGAGCTTTCTGGAAATGTTGACATGCGGTGCACCTCCGGGCAAGGTCAGCACAGTCCCTGGCCATGGTTGGCCAGAAGTAGCCCTGGAGGATGAGCCTTCGGGACATGGAGAAGGGTCCCTGGTGAGCTGAGCAAGTGCCACTGTGCACTTCCTCCATTGCGACCTCGGCTTCATCTGGATGAAGGCACCGAAGTAGCGTGCCATTGTAAGATCGTTTGTAGAGCCTCCCATCTTCGATGGTGTAGCTAGGAGCCCTCAGCTTTGCCAGTTTGGCGCGGGCCTCATTCTCGGGTAGCTGCCCTGTGGAGATGAAGGCGGTGATATCTGAGATCCAATCCTCCTGACGTTGTTGTATGTTCATCACGGGGCTCGCATGGATGCTTGAGAGGCTGAGTTCCTCGATTTTGGCAATTTTGGAGATGTGCTCGGGGGAGTCGGCCGAGAGCTTAGATAATATGTCGGCCTCGGAGTTCTGAGCCCTCGGTATTTGAGTAAGAGAGTGTGCCTCAAATACCTTAAGCAACTCCTTGGCTGCTTCCTTGTACTGTTTCATTCTCCCCTCCTTGGCCTCATATTCTTCGGAGATTTGGCCAACGACCAACTTAGAGTCGCATTTGATGTGGATCTGCCGAGCCCTCATGTTGGCAGCCAGCCGAAGGCCACATAGGAGGGCCTCATATTCGGCCTCATTGTTGGAGACCTTGAAGGAGAAGCGGATTGCATAGTAGGCCCTGAAGCCCTCGGGAGTAATGAGGACTACCCCTCCCCCGCATGCTTTGGTCGCGGAGGAGCCGTCAGTGTAGAGGGTCCACCAGTCGTCCGAGGTAGCCGAGGGCTCCCCGTCCGTGGCTGCCCTTGCGGTACATTCCGTTACAAAGTCCGCCAGGGCTTGGCCCTTGATGGCGGGCCTTGGGCGGATGTCAATGTTGTACTGGCTCAAGAAGATAGCCCATTTCACCATGCGGGAGGAGCTGGTGGGGCTCCTCATGAGGGCGCCGAGGGGTTGATGGGTGAGGACCTGAACCGGGTGAGCCTGAAAGTAGTGGC